TTAATCAAGTGTGCTATTTTTTTTTCAATGGACACCCTCCGAATTTTTCCCAGCCGAGAACGCAGCAAGGCTGGCACGGCGGCATTTGTCCCCATGGCTCCCGCAGGTTCCCCCATCTGCTCCCGCCTGGGCTCAGCCCTGCTTCTCCTCTGTCCTCCAGGCCTCATCCAGACCATCAAGGACCACATCACCAAGCCCACCGCCATGGCCCAGGGACGCGTGGCCCACCTCATTGAGTGGAAGGGATGGAGTGCACCCCCGATGGGCTGGGGGCAGCCCCCCCCCGAAGAGGTGCTCTACGAGGAGCTGACTGACGAACTGAAGGAGGCTCGGTTTGCAGCAGGTGAGGGAGGGAGGGAGGGAGGGGAGGGCTGGTGCAGCCGAGGCCTGGAGGGGACCAGGAGGCTGGGCTGGCCAGGGTGCTCGGGGCTGCTGAGCACCGGGCGCTGGTTGCTTCCACCTGAGGAAACGTACAGGTACGGCTGAGTGTCGGCTTCTTAGTCCGGTGGTCTTGCAGTGCCTGCACAGGGGGAGGGCACTCAGTCCTGCCTGGACCCTGGTCGGGACCCAGGATGTCTCTGCCTCTCCGGCCCTTCTCTAGGCGTGGCCGAGCAATTTGCCATCACGGAAGCCACACTGAGCGCCTGGTCCTCGCTGGGTGAAGAGGAGCTGAGCTACAGGGGAGGCTCACAGGACGCGATCCAGCTGCAAGGTATGGCCCCGGCCTCTGCGCGCTCGCTCGCTCTCTCTGCCCCAGGACGGGGACCCGTCCACTCCTTCTGCTTCTCTAAGTCCCCTGGCTGCATCTTCCCTTCTGACTCTCCTCTTCCTCCCTCCGGGCAGACCTGGAAGGCCTCTACCTGCAGGAGAACTTTCTGTTCTGCTCACCGGCTGTGACCGGCAGCCTCCAGACCTTCTCGCCCTCCGCCCCCGGCTCCCCCATCGCAAGGAGACCCTTGAGAGCAAACGACTGGGACACGGCAAAGGGTGGCTTGAGAAGGGGAGAAGTGGAGCAGGTCGGCCTGCCCAACGCTCTTGGGCTGCAACAGAGTGCCACGTCCCTGCACTACGTGGACAGCAGCTCTCCTTCAGAGGACGAAGTCTTCTACGACTAGGCCGCTGTCGCCCGGGGGGTGAGGCGGCAGCTCTGAGAGGGGCTGGATGGTGTGACCAACAGTGGTCTTGTTCCCGAGGCCGAGAGAGGCCTTTTCTTAGGCCCATCCCATCCTTTGTCTGGCAGCGTGGAGTAGCTGGGCTCGCTTGGCCTGCCCCGAAGGAGGGTGAGGAAGTGAGTTATGCTCCCAGGGCCGTCTCTGTTGCCCTCAAAGCTTGCTCAAGCCATTCAGTGCTGAGACTGACTGCGCAGCCCACCGGGCCATGGCGCACGGATCGTGGAGATGCCAGCGCTGTAGAGGACGGACCCACAGCGGGGCCAGTTTCCGGCAGGGAGTTCAGGCCGTGCATCCCTTCGGGTTTTTCCTGCCTACGCAGTCTGTACAGCCACCTGTGTGTTTAAGCGCTTGCTAATGTTCACAGAGCAACGCTGCTCCTTCCTTATGGCCTGAGGGGTGCCTGACCTAGGTATATTATACTGAGCGTGTATATTTGTAAATAAAAAAAGAGACTGCAGAAAAGTGGCAATACCACCTCCGCGGTACGTTCAAGTCCTTGCCTGAAAGGAAGCAGCCCAGTGCCCCCAGATATAATCTCCATGTCCGAGCAGGGAGAATGGGACTTGTGCCCGAGGCATCTGGGAGGGGGAGACGGAGCACAGCTGGTGCACCTTGCCCTGACTTTAGGCGGGGTCTGTTCCAGCCTGACCGAAAGGCATTTCGCTGGGGTGACCCAGGAATAAAAGCAAGCAGGTTCCTTTTCCTAAGCTTGCTGTAGGAAAAAGACCAATGGGGAAACGAAGGGAACTGCCAGGCTAAGTGCCCCCTTCCTCCAAAAACCCATTCATATCACTCTAGACCCTACTCCAACACTTGCCAAAATGCCCCTTTCCCCACGCCGGGGAGAGACTCCAACCTTAGAGGAATTGAAACTACAGATTTTACCTTAGTAACTATTTCTAAAATGCCCACAGGAAAACTCTATTTCTAAAATGCCCAAAGGTTTAAAAAGCGCCTACATTTGCCACTTTTTCCATTTTTTTTTACTTCTGTTCATCTCAAGCTGATGCAGGTTGGAGAACAGGTCTTTCATTCGCAAACGATACCAGATCACGCAGACCACAGGAATGAAATACACGACTTCACCTCCTCGCACAGGCTTTGCTTTTCAGCGGCACTACTGCGCAGGCTTGGGATTTGCCAAGTCTTCGATGGCTTTCCTTAACTAAAGAAAAAGAAGAGGAAAGCTGCTGACGGAGCACAAAGGGGGTGCCCACCCTGCAAACCGTTTGGAACCAGCTCGCTGCTGTCTCTGAGGAAGGAGCCTCTGGACAGCTGCAAGGCTCATTTTGCTCTTAAGGAGCTCAATGGGGAGACCAGGCCCCCTTTTATTTTATTTTATTTTATTTTATTTTATTTTCACAACGGTCCTGTAAAGTAGGCATGCCCAAGAGTGCATGTCAGTTACAGCTGACAGTGGATCAGAAAGCGATTTCGACGCTCCGTCGCTCAACCGCTGCCTAAATTCGCTTGCGACAGAACCGGTATTCCAACCACCAGAATACTGTCTGAGGTGAAGCCAAACTGGACAGCAACAAAGAGCAAACCATCTCAAAACAACAAGATGCCAGCAGCAATCTTAAAACCCATTAGAAATGAAAAGCAGTTTTTCCAAAGAAGGTAGCACCAGAGGCCAGTTAGGA